TTATTGGCGGCGGCGGACATTTTGTTAGTCTAAGGGCATTAGCAATTTTGAAAACTGTAATGCAGAGAAAAAAGATATATATATATAAACAGAAACAAATATAGTCTGCAGTTTATCGAAGTTCCCTATGGCCAAGGTGAGCAATACGGGATCCTTGTAGCTTCTAAATGTCCAGTGTATATCCTAAGACTATATGCGGAATTCCAACAGCACCAACCTTAAGAGGACACAACCAAGGGTTCCTTGAATATTCCATTTGAAAGAACGCAGCTATACCAGCACTCGTGCTTCCCAGACACCATCAGATTATGTAACAGCCTGCAACTTAATTGACACTTTTAACCGTGCAACTTAATTGACACCTTTAACCGTGCAACTCAATGGACACCTTTAACCGTGCAACTCAATTGACACCTCTAAGCGTGTGTTGCAGAAAACAAGTTGTGTTAAAAACTGTTTGAGAGATTTTAATTGTATATACTGTTTTTTAACTGTACTGCAAATATTGGTTTGTCTGCACAACGCATCAGTTCGAAAAAAACACCAGATGGTGGACTGAACTTCAAACGAAAGAAGAAGAAACAATGCAGGGGGAAATGTTCACATTCCCTTTTGTTATCAAGAGTACGCAATTATGTGTTAAAAACCTCTAGATGTCCCCTTTATGTTTTTAGGTTGCTGTCTCATTACTTGTGTGTTAGTGCAGTTAACATTGCACCTTAAAAATATGTTGAAGCAGCGAATGTATATTTTATGTTTGCTTAAAGGGTTGTAAAAGCGTTTAGCAAAGCATATTCTAAATGAGTCAGCAATATTCATTGAAATGTATTTAATTCATCTTTCAATCATTTTAAGAACTTGGTAAATTCTTGTTCTGGCAGCTCAGGCAAATGGTTCACCTAGCTGCAACACCAGATAGGGACCAGATAATTCTGTTTATTGTTTTTATTTAAATGCTTTGTTTTTAGTATGTTTTACTAATCTCTATGTGTTTTTTTATGTTGCAGACCCTTTAGAATTTGCTTAATTTGTGTTTTTACCCCATAAGTTCATGCTTAGGTATGTGTATTTCGTTACATTTGTTTGTTTTTATAGTGATTAAGATGATAACACAATGTTGACTGCTGTACCCCTATTTTTGACATTTTTACCTATTGTGTCTGTTTGTTTTGTTCACGCATCGTTGTCAATATAATGGAATTTGATGCGACTGTCATACAAGTGAGAGGCTTAGCTAGCTATAAAACCAGGTTCAATCCACCATTTTCTACATAAGAAAATGCCTGTACCCATTCGTTTGATGTGTTTGTTTTTTTGATTTTGCCATTTGATTGGGGACTTTCCTTTTTGAATTTTCCTCGCAGTTCAGTATTTTTGTGATTTTACTTTTTTTTGAGTTGCTTGATAGAACTTTTGTATTACATGCATATATACGTAATTATGCATAATTTGAAATCTTGGTTTCTATGTTCAATTGTCACTGCGCATCACTTGATATGTATTTTTTGTTTGCTGTTCTTTGTTTTTCTTGTAAAAGCCCTTCAGGCGGCATATGTTCGTAATTGCATTGCATTTGCCGACCTTAAATAAAGCTGTATGTCGTATATATACATATGTATGTGTTTCTACTTCTACTTCTACCAATACTCGGCCACCATCAATAAATTGATTATTTTGCCACTTTTTGGATGCGCATTTAAAATTTAGACAATATTGAATTGATTTGAATTGTGCTATACATCATATATACAGTGAATTTAAAAACATCTTGGCGTTGATCTAGTTCATCTCATGCAGGTAAGTCTTGAGGCATTCAAGACTACCTGCATTGGTGGCAGTATGTGGTAGGGCATTCCAGTCTCGTATCGTCCTTGGGTGAAAAGATTCCTTCCGCATTTCGGTCCTACAAGTTGGTACTTGGTATCCATTAGTGTTGAGGTTTCTGGATAGCCTATCTGGTGGAATGAGAGTATTACTGGTGTCAACTTTCACCATCCCGTTGGCAAGTTTATACATCATTGTAAGCCTTGATGTTCTCCTACGGTCTTCGAGGGTTTTCCATTCTAGTTGGTTAAGCATGTCACTAACAGATGATGTGTTATGATATCTGTAAGTGACATATCTGGCTGCTCTCCTCTGTACCATTTCCAGTCGGTTTTTGTTGTTTTGTTGAAAAGGATCCCAGACTGTACATGCATATTCTAGAGTCGGTCTTACAAGTGATTTGTATGCAGTTTCTTTTATTGTGTTGTTATTGATGTTCAAGTTACGTTTGAGGAAGCCTATGGTCTTGTTTGCCTTGACACATATGTTTTTGATGTGTTCATTCCATTTTAAATCGGAGCTGATGGTGCAGCCAAGGTACTTTGCAGAGTTTAGAGATTCGAGGGTGTGGCCATGCAGTACATATTCTTTTATAATAGGCTTACGTTTTCTTGTTATGGTAAGAACATTACATTTATCTGGATGAAATGCCATTTTCCATTTGTTTTCCCAAATTGCCAGCTTATTCAGATTTTCCTGAAGGTGGTCGCTGTCTGTGTCCGATGATATTGGGAGATATATGATTGTATCATCAGCAAAGAGTCTTTAATATGTTTAATATGTCTATATATTGCATATCCGTCGCATTTGTTAAAATGGATTACTAGCTTTTATTCATACGTTCGCCCCCTGGAATCGTTCGCATCCTATGTTTAATTTGTTTAAATTAGTACAGGTTGGTTTGTTAGATTTTTTCTTGAATAAAAATTCGTGAATTTTCTAAATGAAATCATTTTAGTCGTTTTGTGATTTGTTGATTAACTCTTTTAAAAATGTTATTTATTCATGATACGGGTAAAATGTATATTTCTCACTATCATGTATATTTCTTCCATAAATGCAGATAGTCCAAGATCTTCTATTCACAGAAGAAGGAAAATCACCATTTGAACTTTTTTTGTTACTTGTACCGAGCCCGGAATCGTAATACATGTTTTTGTTAATTCCGATAAAGAGTTGCGCCCCTTTTAACAAAAACATTAGCGGCGAATTCGAAGAATCTTCACAACTGTTTTTCAATCTTTAGATAACCCCAAAACCTGTCAGTGAAACTGCATAGTATCTCTCTGAACAAGAGAAATAATCTAATGTTTGAAAAAGACACATGAGTGCTGGTAGAAACTCAGAAGTTGAACAATCCCATTTTAGCATGGATTCAGTCTCCGATTCAGATGAATCCGACGTTGAAAATTACAGAATATTGCCTTCAGCAACAAGTGAATGGGACATATTATGCCTCCAATCTATTGATATTCATTACAATAATCATTTTCATAATTTGCCGTCTGACATTTTAGATTTTGTTCATGCGAAAACGGGAATGTTTGGGCCGTTGACAGAAAAACAAGAAGAATTCACGAAAAATTTACAAAACGCTATCAGCTTCAGTTGCCCAACTACTGAATTACTTGGGATTGGTTTAGACATGAATGTTGAAACATTTATTCCAGAAATGGAAAAGGATATTAAGAAAAACCAATGTTCATCAAGGTACACATTTAGAATGCCGGTCATCATGGTCATGTATGACAGTTTGTTGCCAGGTGTTGAACTGTACCTCTAAGGTACAAGAACACAAACAACAAAATGTAACATAGCAACAAACGACAACCACTGAATAACAGGTTCCTGACTTGGGAAAGGCACATACAGGATCTGGCGGGGTTAAACTGGTAAGATGGTGTCAAACCCTCCACCTAACCTCATGAACCTGGCATACCTGCCATTTTCATGATTTTTTCAAAATGCCCATGTGGGTTTTGCGTGCAAGATAGCTCTTATAGTCCTAAGAAACCTAAATGTATTTTTATGTTGTTTTTTGGCTTTAATATTCATACTTTTAAAGTTTATAGCCATTGTAAAATTAACTGTTTTGTTTAAAATTGTAGACAAAATTGCTCTTTCTAAATTTCCATTTGGGTGCTTTCATGGGGGAAAGCCCCCACAAATAGTGACAGTTGGCAGTATGACCTGGGACAGAGCATGTTTAAAGTAACGTAGTCAAGACAAGTTCATGAAAAGAAGAAAATATGGGAACTAAGGGAGATAATTCTACTCATCAATTTTTATTTAATTTTATTAAAACACTGTAAAAATATTGAAAATTTATTGCCTGTGAGGCAAATATCCAAAAGAGTTCAAATGAAATATACGTAATTAAATGCTACCATATGGCCACAACAATGAGAAAAACCCAAATGGTATAGTCAGCTAAGATGTAATGCCTTGACCATGTTGACATGAAACATGTAAAACACATAGAAAAAGAAAACTAACATTCAGCCTAATCTATATTATGCATATTACAACAATTTAGGGAAAAAAAATGACAATCAAGTAGATATAAGAAGATGTGGTATGAGACAACTCTCCATACAGGTCACAATTTTTAAAAGTAAACCATTACAGGTCAAAGTACGGCCTTCAACACCGCTCACATTAAACAGAAAGCTATAAAGGGCTTCAAAAATTACTATTCAAACAGGGAAATATACTGTCTAATCTACATTGATCTATATAAAAAACAAAAACACTTATGAATCACATCAACAAACATCAACCACTGAACATCAGGTTCCTGACTTAGGACAGGTGCAAACAAATGCAGTTGGTTTAAAAGTTTCAATTGGTGCCAACCTTCACCCAACCTGAAAAAATAGTGTAACATCACCATAGGAAAACACACTATAAAATATCAATTGAAATGGCTTAACCCAATCAACATGATCATGATGATCAAATGGCATATTAACAAGAACAAATGAACATACACTGAACAAATAAATTTGATCGATGAATAAGTATTACCCCTGACTTTAATATACAGCTATATTTATAGATTGGTTCATTATCAACATGATGAATAATAATCAGAATTGATAAAAGATGTGCATAAACATGTTAAAGATTTTTTGTTCTTTTGAAATATGATTTTTTTTTTTGGCTGTTGTAGTGATCCTTTAACTGAAGTGTCAACCGTTGTAGATGATTTCATCAACAGTACAATAATAATGATGAAATACCAGTCTTCATACCTGAAAATGATCCACAAATATGGGAAGCAAAGCATACCACCTGTATCAAAGGATATTTTTGCAGACATATTCAAAGCTTTCACGAAGATGTGTTGTCTTCTTCCTGTGTAAGTCTTAGTACTTATACATGTAGGGCCAAATATTTTTAATTAAAAAGGACTAGATTCTCATCCAAGCTTTCCTGATTTGTTAAAAATTTGAAGAAAAAAATCCTGATTTTTGGCTATTATTTTAACACTTAAATGATCAGGTGATCATGTTTATTTGTTAGGAGTTGTCACCAAATATGGCATGAGATTAAAACTAAATTTGACTGTCAGCAACAATTTTTTACTTAATAAATATAGGAATTTTTTGTGATGGCCTAAGGTTGAAGAGAGATAGATGGAATGATTGGTTTAATGTCCAGCACTTTTTGTCCAGTTGCAACTATAACATGTATTTTAGGACAAGAATATGTTTTTGCAATATGATAATTATTCCTGCTGCTAGACCAAATTTTAAATGTGCTAGTTCACCAGGTAGTAATCTATACAAGTAAACAAAGTAACCCTACCTAGGAATAATACTCTCACTCTGATCCACCGTGTTCTTTCTCTTAGTTCTAGATATAAAGTGCTGAGCAGAAAAGTAGAAGATAATAAAATTGAGAATGGAAATGGGAATGTTTCACAGAGACAACAACCCGACCAAAGAGCAGAAAACAGTCGAAGGCCACCAATGGGTCTTCAACACAATGAGAAAATCCTGCACCTGGAGGCCGGCTTCAGCTGGCCCCTAAACAAAAATGTGTACTTGTTCAGTGAAAATGTATGTCATACTAAACTCCAAAACATATAAATGAACTAAAATTATACAAGACTACTGTAAATTCAGAAATTATTGCGTGCATTTATTATTGCGATTTTTCAAGCATGGGCAAACATGCGAGTCTAATTATTGCGATTTCGAAAAAAATCTACTTACCGATCTATGTTTCAGTTATCAGAATGCGAGTTCTTATTATTGCGATACTCACCAAGTCGCATTTTTCGCATTAATAAAAACCTCGCAATAATTTCTGAATTTACAGTAACAATGGCCAGAGGCTCCTGATTTAGGACACTGAGGCACAAAAATGAAGTGGGGTTAAACATGTTTAGTGAGATTTCAACTCTAAAAAACCAAACACACCGCAATACGCATAGTAAAACTCAGTTTAAAAGAAGTCTGATGTCAGAATAGGTAACAAAAGAAATTTAAGCAAAATGACAATGATACATAAATTAACAAAGGACTACTAACAGTTACTGACATGCCAGCTCCAGACCTCAATTAAACTGATTGAAAGATTGTGTCTTCATCATTTGAAAATCAAGCACAATCAGCCCTCTCTTAAGGGTTAAGAAACATACCATCATGAAATAGTTTAAAGTGTTCAGTTTTAGCCTGCTTGAATGCTTGATATCTTTCTATTTCAGAGCACGCATGGCAAGTAAAACAATATATATATTGCAGAACAGTGTCAGATAGATTTTAAATTGATTTTAAACATATTTTTTCAGCAGGCTGATCAGGATATGAACAGGGTTGAGCAACAGGCACAGCCGGTGAAAGCTCTATCCACTGGTCAGACAGATGTGAAATAAACGTATCTTTTGATTGATAAACAAGTAAAATGACATTAAATTTTTATGTTTTTCAGACCAGGATCAGCATGGAGATCGATAATGAATATTCATCAGGTTGATGTTACATCAACACCTGATGTTGTAATTATGACAAAGGATCATCTGCATAGTCAGTTTCCAGAAACTTCATCTGTTGTGTCCATTGCAGAGGTAACAGAATAACCATGATAACACTGCAACTTATGTAGATTAAGGTGGCTGGGGCGTCTTAATTAATATCCATAGAATTTTTTAATACTTTGTCAAAATTAAGTTTTTATCATGCTTTGTTCAAAAATATAATTAAAAGTATGGGTCACTGGACTTTTTTCACGCTACAGGTTATGCAAAGTTGTGAGATTTTGTATAGATTATGCATGGAAAATTCAATTTTGTGTGATAAAAAGAAAACTACCTGATAGAATTTTAAGATAAAATGTGAGAAGATAGCTCTTATAACATGCTTAAAGATAAGAAAAGAAAAAATGGGGTCACCGAACTTGTTTTCTTGCTACAAATTAAAATAATTAAATTCACAACACTTTCAAAAAAAAAATTACTTTATCTGAGTTATCCCCCCTACTATCTTAGTTATCTCCCCTTATTTGGCAAAAGTAAAAAATAATGAATCAAACACAAATATGTTTTTGTTTTAGAAATTACAGCCGTTAATATGATAAAACACATAATTTTCTATATTTATATCAAAAGTCTTACACATGAATTACATACTTCTCTCAAAATTTGCACATTTCATTCAAGATCTAGACCAACTACTTCAAAATCCAAGATGGAGGAAGACACCCAAGCCACCTTAAGTTTCTTTTGCACCTGCCTACTGAAAATGAACCATGATAGATTGGGAAAAAAAAATATATTATATTATAATATTGTTATTTCCATTACAGACAGTCAGGGGTACTACTTGTACAAGTAATTTTTATTTACTTGGAAGAAGTAATATTCATTCATACCTGTCAACATATGGCAATGAAAATGCCGGTCATGACCTGCATTGAAGAATGAAATCTCAGGTCATAACCCGTACAAACTTTTTCGAGCTGAATTTCAGTATTTAAGGGACATTTTTCTTATAATTTATATCAAACAGTTTACAAGCTTTAGTAGCCATGTCACCTTAAATTTCCAAAATATTTAATAGGAAAACCAAATAAAAAAAAATATATTGCTTTGAAACACCAAAGATACATGTTTACAACCCCTAAAAAAAACTTTTCTGCAATGAAATGCAGGGTTAATTTCAAACAACTGTCAAATTAAAGGGAATATATTAAAAAAAAATTCAACCCTTTTTTCCATGAAACTGGATGTACTATGTATTGGTGGTATTATACCTTGAAAGAATTTTCACAATTTAATAATAAATGGATTTTAGTTCTTGAATGATTTTTTGATATATCTAAACAACCTCTATCAAAAGGAAAGTAAAGCAATGTAGAGGAAGCTCAGTTAACACCTGTATGTAGAAAGTCTTTTAATATAGGCCTTTATCAGTACACACTATCAATATAAAACAGATGCTAAATATATAAATATATATACTGAATTTTTTTTCTATAAGATTGAAATTAGCTAAAAAAATTTTTAGCTTCATGAGTATAATTATAAAAAACCAACATAAAACAAAATTAGTTAGCATTTTAGGCATAATTATGTTCATTAGTATAGTACATTGTGGCAGTTGTTTGGCATTGAAACAATTACTTTTTGCTTGTTTTGTGTTGTTTAATAGTATTAGAAATATGATCACACAATTTTAAAAGTAAATATTGATAAAAGTCTGTCTGCATCATGTCCAGTAATACTGTATACAATCTGTGAAGAGGCAAAACATTACTATCAAAGGTTTTAATGTATCACAGCATGATGAATTATAGTTTGCGGGAAAAACCCATTTTACAGTTTCAGTAGGGATAATTATCATAGAGCATCCTCTTTTTAGCTCCATGTGAAATATTTTATTAATATTAAAATGCTGTATGCTTTTAGATTGAAAACATCTTCAACAATAATAATTGATTCCAATTTTAATAGAGGGAAACAGTTATCAAAAAATAAGATAGACACTGAAGATATTAGGTTATATGATAGATATATGGTAGATACATTTTAATTTAACCCCTAAACTAAAGTGGTATAGTCATGACTCCCTATTGTCATGTTCCTACAGTCATGACAGTAGTATGCTGAATCAAAAATGCTTTTAAGCATACCAATTGAACTATTACTATACATCTTTAAATATTTGTAAGTGAGGGACCTAGCATATATGAGTCACGTCTGCAAATTATTCAAGAAAATTGCCTGTTCTCCTCAAACACTAAAACTTCTAAATTGCCATATTCCTAACTTGAAACGGATTATTACAAGAATTTTTAACTGTAGTTTTAATATATATTATAAAATATCTCAATACTTTCCTGTTGATATCATATATAAAATATCTGAGAAAAGAAGTTGTATTGCATAGATAAAAGGGATTACAGTACAGAGTATAAAATTTTGTTATAAAGTTTTTGGTCCCTTGAATCCGATAATGATCAGAAAAACAAAATCAGAAAAGTTATTCAAGAGAAAGATATAGAGGATTGCTGAACTAAAATCAATTTATAATAACTATTTTATTGTGAAAAGTCTTTCAACCTAGCCTTCCAATTACGAATTGAAACATTTCTTAAAGTAGCCATTTTCTATTAAAGAACTAAGTTTGCTATTGTATATAAAGTTTAACAAATGATTATAAATCAATTACCATAGTTTGTGTCTTTGATGACTTTATTGTATCATTTTATATGTTATAAATTTAAGTTATATTTATATTATTTAAATATAAAATTTGAGTATTTCTTTTGTATTAAAAAAGAATGATTATTAATAAGAAAATGATTTAAAAACATTTACTTTTTGTGGAGACTTGATATTTCTTTCCAAGCATTACACAGTACTATTGAAGAATTTCTTATCTATTTTATAGTTTTGTAAAGTCATGCAAGTTGTATTTGAATAGACCAGATGTTTACACAGGTGTTAATTGAGCTTCCTCTATTATGCTTTACTTTCCTTGTTATAGAAGTGCTATAGATTTGATTGACATCTTAATGGATCATGATAATTATTGTCACATAAACTGCTGAGAAAAGCCTACTTAAAAACCTCCGAGCATGCTTGGCTTTTGACTAAGGAGTCTACTTTGAATTATTTGTATGACCTTGAAATTGGTTTCTTGTCAATCATGTATCACTGAGAAAGCTAAGGCTTTATGTATTTTTGATAAAAGCGTACATGTATGTATGTGTTGAGGGTTTTGAAAGGTCATGACTGTTACCAAAACACTTTTTGTTGCTAAAGACTGCATGAACGTTTTATGTTTGAGAACATCCATGTTATTTGTGTGTTATGCGGCGTTCACACAGTGCCGATTATAGCTCCTGTTTGAGATCAGACAGCGTTAAGACACGAAAAGTTAAAAAGTCAGATTACGATCGTCATTGATCTGGAATGTCCTAACATTGTCCCAACGAAGTCGTATACGTTTGTAACAGATTCCTACGGATTGGGAATGGTCTGGAAAGAATGGCCAAGCACACCAGACAATAAGGTGCGTCGCGTAACATTCTGGGGAAACTCAGCCGATTTTATCTAGTCGGATTACAATCGTGACTATGTCGTGACAGTTTCTGATGTATTGGATTAAAATCGTAACAATGTTCTGTGTTTTCTGGACATTGTCCTCTGGAACGTGCATGATCTGGAGAAATTTTTCATTGCTGTTTTTTTGCCGATTGAGTCCAGATTGCATCCAGATCTTGCCAAATGCGAACCGCCTTTGCTGAAACCGTTTCGGAACAGTCCCGTTATTAATTCGAAATTCGGCAATGAAACCCACGTCAGAGTCCCGACAATTACAGACCGCAATACGACTGAGTTCAGACAAAGCCGTGTGCAGTGCGAAACAGCAGACTGTGATAGGATTGTGTTCAGACAGTACCTGATGATCCTGAATATTGCGACAGTTTTCTAACGGATATCTTCCGTCAGGGTTGGTTCACTGTCTGGTTACTGTCTGATCTCTGTCGGATCACATTCTGGAGAATCGGGATGCTGTCGGGACAGATTCGGTCATTTTGTACCATGCGAAAGATACAAATAGGATTAGAATCGGATTGAGAACGGGATAATCGGACAAATTCGGTTGGAAACGGCTGAATTTGGTCGCTTCCTGAACAATATCTGATTGTTGTCGTGATTCAGTAAATGTTTTTACAAATTTTAACTAAATTTTGATTTTCCAGCAACGATTCAAGGGATCTTGATCAGACTTTTGACAAATTTTAATAGGGAATAGTCCTCTGTCTAGGACGACAGTAAAAATCGGGAATGTATGACCCCAGCTTAACTGTAGTCCTGAATACCATGCACTACCTACCATATCCTGTCCTGCTCTGTGTGGCTGACCAATTTTTGCTGTTATAATTAATGTTGTGCTATAAAAACACTGCCCATGGTGAGGTGATGAGAGCTCACAGACATGTTGAATAGCAGGAATAGTTCCACATTTGCTATATTAGTGCATTTTATATTTTACCCTATTTTTAAAGTGTAACTTTATTTAGTCATATATATACATTATATGCTCATAATAATGTACATTTAGTGTATTTATTATTGTAACCAAACATTTCTAGGCACTGTTGTTATGATGTCTGTTAAATTAAATTAAATTTTTTGTTCTACATGAACATGATGTTTCAGCTGAAAAATTTAGGTGTTTTTACAAATGATGATGATGACGAAAACAATGACGAAGAACGAACAACTAGAACTCACAGGAATACATCATCTGATTCATCTGAGCTGAAAGAAGCAGACGACAGTGAACAATCGGTTCATGAAAAACCAGCTATTCTTAAAAGAGTTGGGCAAAAAGTTCTTGGACAGCATGGGGGAGAGCTATTACTACATCAGTCTTTATATCGACAAACTCTTGACAAAGAGCGAGGCATGAGGTATATTCCTGGGATGATTGTTATTGGAACTGAGGTAATATTTGACCAATGAAATTTAATGTTTTATCCTGATTTGGAGTAATTTTTCGCAATTTGATTAGCTGTTATTGTCCTAATAAATTTAAGTACAATTTTTATTACGTCAATTGTAATTATCTCCCTTATACTATTGACCTAATAAAAAAAATATTTTTGAGTTGCTATAATGTCCTAATATTTTTCTTTTTTAACAGTTTTAGATTAAGTATCTAAATATATTTGGTCCTAATAATTAAATTTGAATATAATAATTTGTAATATAACAAAATCAGGATAAATTTGTTACAGTGTGCAATTGTCCTAATAGGGAATTTATTGGGTCAATAAAATTCATATCAGGTTTGGCTTTGCCTCACCCGAAATGAATTTTATTGACCATGTTGACCCGATAAAATAAATCCTGGTATTAGGACACTTGCACACAAATATAAGGTCTTGGAAGCGATATTGCAGCAGTAAAACTCTGGGGAATGTCACATTAAATCAAGTTACATTTTTGATTTCAATAAAAAAAACTTATTACACAGCATGGATATTCACTTCTGCCATGTCTGCCATTCAGAAGTTATGGTTCTTGATTGATAAGAAAATTGCCCTGTATACATAGGTCATTACCATGCACTAACTAGTTAACTGTTTTTCCAATGATCTCCATATTTTACTATTTTGAGATTGTTTTCATTTTAACATTTGTAGTACAGGAGTTATTGTCCTTGATTAATTGGAAATTGACATATTTTTAAAGTTGTTCCATACAATAAGCTGTGAGCTGTTCTACCAATGCTTTTCAAATTTTGATATGTTGCTAATGATTAAATAGATACAATTTGATTTTGAGACTTTTACTTTTACAAGTCAGGAGTCTAATTCCCCTTTATTACTTTAAAAGTAACCCTTATAAATGTAATGAAATCAGAATTTGCAGTCATTTGACAAACCTTGTATTTTGCAAATGGATTACTGTAAATTCAGAAATTATTGCAAGGTTTTTATTAATGCGAATAATGCGACTAGATGAGTATCACAATAATATGAACTCGCATTTTGATAACTAAAACATAGATCTGTATGTAGATTTTTCTGAAATCGCAATAATTAAACTCGCATTCTTGTCAATTTTTGAAAAATCGCAATAATAAATGCACGCAATAATTTCTGAATTTACAGTAGTTTTGTGTGGCCTTGATGAAGTTGTGAAAGCGAGAGAATGTCATGTTTGCTATACATGTTCCGTCAGTCATGGTCCATTGACTTTTAAACTTTTCCATTATGTTTATGTTTGTGTTAAAGTCAGTTAGAAGAAATCACAGACGGTGATATTCCTGGATATTTATAAGGCAGATTAATTAGAATTGGAATATTTAATTTCAATCAGAATTATTAAGCACCACCCTCAAAGTCATATTCACACTTTGAAACATTTGTAATTTTAAGATGTTAAAGTGTTGCCATTTGAATCTAAACATTTGTATAATATCATTACAGTTACACACAATATGTTTGTATGTCTGCAGGATATTTTTTTAAGTCAACCGAAAAATAAATGCACAGTCTTTACCGACAGGTACATGTGCTATTGCTAGGATTTTCAGATTTTGATAACTTAAAACAACTTTGTCAAACCTTCACAGAGATATAAGAGATTTGGATAGAATCTTTATCATTTTGAGATTTAATTTAATTAAAAGATGGACAGTTGTTTTTGCAGTTAACATTAAATTATCAAAAACTTTATCAAATCATCATGATCATACATGTATGATCATATTGCAATTTGAAAGGAATATTTTTATTTTTTTATCATGATTTACTTAAAAATGGACTTTTGTATAGCAGAAAATAGAACACAGTTTCATCAATCATTGTCAATGACAGCCAATGAGATTATGAGACAATACTTAGATAGGTGTATGCTTAATAATTTTTGTCTCGTCTGCGACGAAAGTCACAGAAAGTGAGACAGAGGTATTACTATGCGGCGGTGGCGGCGGCGGTGGCGGCGACGGCGGCGTAAGCTATTTGTATAAAGCTTTATATTTCAGAAGGTAGAAGACCTGGATGCTTCATACTTTGTATGCAGATACCTTATGTTACGAACTTTCCGTCTGTCATATGTCCAATGTCCTTGACCTTATTTTCATGGTTCAGCGACTGCTTGAAAAAAAAGTTTAGTTTTTTTGTTATGTAAATTTCTCACTTATTATGAGTAATAGGATAACTATATTTGGTATATGGGTTCCTTGCAACGTCTACATGTCCATCAAACAGGGTTCACCTGACCCCAGCCTCATTTCATGGATCAGTGATCAAGGTTAAAGTTACGTGATTAGGTCCGTTTCTCAGATACTACAAGCAGTAGGTCAGCTATATGTGGTGTATGGAATGATTATAAGGGATACATGTCAGTCTGGCAGGTTTCATCTGACCTTGACCTCATTTTCACGGTTCATTGGTCAATGTTAAGTTTTTGTGTTTTGGTCTGTTTTTCTAATACTATAAGCCATTGGTCAACTATATTTGGTGTATGGAATGATTGTAAGGTGTACATGTCTGTCTGGCAGGTGTCATTTGTCCTTGACCTATTTTCATGGTTCATTGGTCAATGTTAAGTTTTTGTGTTTTGGTCTGTTTTTCTAATACTATAAGCAATAGGTCAACTATATTTGGTGTATGGAATGATTGTAAGGTGTACATGTCTGACTGGCAGGTGTCATTTGTCCTTGACCTCATTTTCATGGTTCATTGGTCAATGTTAAGTTTTTGTGTTTTGGTCTGTTTTTCTAATACTATAAGCAATAGGTCAACTATATTTGGTGTATGGAATGATTGTAAGGTGTACATGTCTGTCTGGCAGGTGTCATTTGTCCTTGACCTCATTTTCATGGTTCATTGGTCAATGTTAAGTCGCTCTTGTTTGGTCCTCTTCTCAGATACTATAAGTTATAGGTCAACTATATGTGGTGTATGGAATGATTGTAAGGTGTGCATGTCTGTCTGACAGGTTTCATCTGACCTTGAGCTTATTTTCATGGTTCATTGGTCAAAGTTCAGTTTCCTCAATGAGGTTTGTTTCTAAGATACTTTAAGCAATATATGTTAAATAAATTTGTAAATTTCTCACTTATTATGAGTAATAGGATAACTATATTTGGTATATGGGTTCCTTGCAACGTCTACATCTCCATCAAACAGGGTTCACCTGACCCCAGCCTCATTTCATGGATCAGTGATCAAGGTTAAAGTTACGTGATTAGGTCCGTTTCTCAGATACTACAAGCAGTAGGTCAGCTATATGTGGTGTATGGAATGATTATAAGGGATACATGTCAGTCTGGCAGGTTTCATCTGACCTTGACCTCATTTTCACGGTTCATTGGTCAGTGTTAAGTTTTTGTGTTTTGGTCTGTTTTTCTAATACTATAAGCCATTGGTCAACTATATTTGGTGTATGGAATGATTGTAAGGTGTACATGTCTGTCTGGCAGGTGTCATTTGTCCTTGACCTATTTTCATGGTTCATTGGTCAATGTTAAGTTTTTGTGTTTTGGTCTGTTTTTCTAATACTATAAGCAATAGGTCAACTATATTTGGTGTATGGAATGATTGTAAGGTGTACATGTCTGACTGGCAGGTGTCATTTGTCCTTGACCTCATTTTCATGGTTCATTGGTCAATGTTAAGTTTTTGTGTTTTGGTCTGTTTTTCTAATACTATAAGCAATAGGTCAACTATATTTGGTGTATGGAATGATTGTAAGGTGTACATGTCTGTCTGGCAGGTGTCATTTGTCCTTAACCTCATTTTCATGGTTCATTGGTCAATGTTAAGTCGCTCTTGTTTGGTCCTCTTATCAGATACTATAAGTTATAGGTCAACTATATGTGGTGTATGGAATGATTGTAAGGTGTGCACGTCTGTCTGACAGGTTTCATCTGACCTTGAGCTTATTTTCATGGTTCATTGGTCAAAGTTCAGTTTCCTCAATGAGGTTTGTTTCTAAGATACTTTAGGCAATATATGTTAAATAAATTTGGTGTATGGAATGATTGTACGGCCTACATGTTTGTCTGATAGGGTTTATCTCACCTTGACTTCATGTTCATTCATCATTAAAATGTTTATTTAATGTAAAGCTTATATAAACTTATTTTTTTTACTTTCAACATAAATTCAATTATGAACACTAAAACAGGCGAGACATTTCAGTGTGTCCACTCTTGTTTCATTAGATTAGTCTAATTATTTAATTATTAAATGTTAGATGTAACAGCCACTTATTTCTTTTGTAGGTCACCTTCACTTTACTGGAGTTGCATGGTAAACATTTAGCAGAACTGAGAAGCAAAGATGGGAATATAAGACATAAAAGCTATATATATTATTCAAAACCTAGAAATTTGCTGAAGAAAGAAGATCGAGATATCCTGCTCGAATCTTTTGTAAGGTTGAATAATAAAAAGTAATTAGGTTTTTGAAATGTACATAACAATAATGAAAAATATATATTAAGACAGTTTATGAAAGGTTTATAAATTTTGTTAGCATAAGCTGTTGGGAATTTGATATTTTTTCTCTGACTCCTTTATGGTTTGTGGTTGAGGGGGCATTAAGTTTAACCTTGTCTATCTGTACATCTGTCTGTACGTCTGTCTGTATGTCCCAGAATAAGTCCCATAACTTTAGTTTGCCTCAAACAAATGTAATTAAACTTAAACACAATGCTTATTACCACCAAACACAGATCAAGTTATCACCTCCACGGTTCTTCAGTTATGTCTCTTTGTAAATTGAAAAATTGCCGAATTTGCGGTACATTTTCACAAGGAGGCATCTGTGTCCAATGGATACCAGACTTGGGGTCAATTACATTGGAATGTAATTAATTAAATTACACATTACATTGCAAAAATGTTCAATTACACTTATTACACATTACACAGTTTTTGAAATGTAATTAATTAAATTACAATTAGTTTACTAAAGTAATTAATTAAATTACACATTACATTTCATCATAACTTTCATAAACAATATATATATCATGTATATATATAGCATGTGTAAAATATTCATGTAAGCTTACAACATAGTTTTAGCATTGCATTTGATCATCATTAGGATTTTTAATGTTTTGTCATTTAGTCTGCATCTCTCTGGTCTGAACACTTTGTTTCGACAGGAGCTGATGTGACAGGTATTGCTTGATCATAAGATGTGTTGATAGAAGAGGGAATGTTTTCCTATTAACAATGAGTAACTTGCCAATACATTAAGGGGTATTTTGACAACCCAGAAATGAAGCCATTTAATTAAACATAATATAGATAAATAAATTTTTAAAAAATCCATGTTTTTTTACTTTAGAAGTATTCAAAAGTATGCTTGTCACAATATTGAAAATAATTTTTAGTACAAAAAATGAGAATGAATGAATGTATTATGTCAATATTAGCAATATTTTGCTAATTAGATAACATACATGTAATAGTGGCATTGTCCCTAGGCTGTTTTATTACACATTTAGTCTGATTAATTGCCATTTGTTTTTACAGCTGATAATTTTTATTTCTATAATCCCTTTGTGTATACTAATTTGACAAAATGACTGTGTGCAGTGATTTAAAATTCTAAATGAACTGTCTAAGAAAGATTTACACATTTGTTAAACCATACATACATGTATTGATGGTATATATATATATATATATATGTTATCAATATATTTAGATAAAGATCTTTCTTAAAAACTGAACAACACCAATATATGATTCTCACATTTTTTTAAGTTATAAGACTATTTAGCAAACATTTCTGTATGTCAAATAAATAATATTTATATTAACACAATCTCTATCATTAACACCATAAAAGTACATGTAATTGAAATGTAATTCAAAAGTAATTTAGCATTACATGCTTTTTTCAGTGTAATTAATTAAATTACCATTACATGTAATTAAAAAATGCTCAATTACACATTACATTCAATTACATAGAAAATTGTAATGCATTACACTTAATTACCATTACATTTTCAATTACCCCATCCCTGATGGATACATTCTTCCCTCATTTTCGTTTTTCATTGTTCTATTTGGTCACCTGTTTCCCCAAATATATTTTGTATTTATTCACTATTTTGACCTATTGTCTCAACTTTACTATTTCTGAAAATTATATTGACTCCATGTTACTAAAGATAGTAACATCAAGTCAATATCAACTCCCTAAAGTAGTTACATTGAGTCATTATCATTTAAAACTAACACTAACTACATACTGTGGACTCATTATTATTCGTTGGATACCAATTTTTGTAGTTTTTGTGGGTACAGGTAAACCACGAATTCAAATTCTCAATGAATCAAAAATTTTCTTTCAGGTTGTATCCAGACTTTGGCAAAACCATGAAATAACATATTCACGAAAAGACAAGTTTTCTGCGACCCACCAAAATTGGTATCCATAAATATAAATGAATCCACAGTATGTGATATATAAAAAAAGTTATATAGACCTGTTGGAAGAATACATGTTACAACATTGGACCTGCGATTTAGTCGTCAGTAAAAATGATATGAACAGGACCATATTAACATATTGACCTCCTCAAATGTCCATAATGGATAGATATATACGTAATATACCAAACCTCTTAAATCTAACTGTCCTTATTTTAGAAAATCCCTGAAATAGGTATGATATTGTTTTCCATTGTGATATTTGTATTACTGTAAATAACTCTTAATGATATTTGTAAATTTCTTCAATTCTTACATTGTATTTTGTATTGCTGTAAATTCCGAAATTATTGTTTTTATTATTGCAAAAAATGCAACAGGGTTATAATCGCAATAATTTAAACTCACATTTTGAAACTTTGTATATCGATTAAACAGGATTTTTCTCAATATCGCAAAAATTAGAATTGCATGTTAGCCTAAAATGACAAAATCGCAATAATAGATGCTTGCAATAATTTCTGAATTTACAGTATGTTTACACTCCAAACCTAAATTATTATCTGAAAATAATGTATTTTGTGTAAACTTCCTTCCAATTATACTAATTGTAATTAAATAGTAGTAATTTTGATTATGATATCTCTATATGAAATAGTGGGATCCAGTATGATTTCCAGTGAGACAACTATCCACTGCAGACCAAATGACATAGATTTTAGGAACTTTAGGTCTCTGTTTGACTTTCAACAATGAATGAAACCCATACTGCATAGCATGCTTTGACAGAAAAAATGTAAAACTATTCAAATTTAAAAAACTAACAGCCAAATATAGATATAAGAAGATATGGTATGAGTGCCAATGAGACAACTCCATCCAAGTCGCAATTTATAAAAATAAACCATTATAGGTCAAGGTATGGTCTTCAACACAGAGCCTAGGCTCACACTGAACAGCAAGCTATAAAGGGCCCTAAAAATTACTAGTGTAAAACCATTCAAACGGGAAAACCAACGGTCTAATCTGAATATGCATGTATGTACAAACAAAACAAACAAAACATAATAAATATGATGTGCAAAAACCACTGAAGTGGGGCATCCTTTGTTGCTTTAAGGATAACTTTATTTGGTATATGGGACCATGCAAGGTATTTGTGTTCAACAGGCAGGGTTCATATAACAACTGCCTCTACCTCGTGTCATGGATAAAAGATTAGCTTTTGGTGGTCAAGTCCTTTTATGAGATACTATATTTTGTGTCTTTAATTTTGATAATATGTACAGGTTTGACTGCAAGGATTCTTTTGACTTTGACCTGCTTTTTATGATTCATTGGTCTATTTAATTTTTTGAGTTTTATAGAAATAATATAGAATTAAAATGACGTATTTAGAAGTAATTATAGGTCACTGTTCACCCTTCAACAATGAGAAAAAAAAAACCTATTGTATAGTATAATTTAGTATGTTTCTCAGATACTGTAAGTATTAGGTCTATTTGGGTGTAAATGTCTGCTTTTTAGCTCACTGGGGCCCAAAGGGATGTGAGCTCATGCCATCACTTGGCATCCGTTGTCGTCCATCGTCTGTCGTCGTCGTCTGTCGTAAACTATTTCAAAAATATTTTCCTCTGAAACTGCTGGGCCAAATACCTTCAAACTTTAACTAAATGTTCCTTAGGGTCTCTTGTTTATAAATTGTATCCAAAGTTATGATCCATCAACAAACATGGCCGCCATGGCTAAATATAGAACATAGGGGTCAAATGCAGTTTTTGGCTTATATCTCAGAAACTAAAGCATTAAGAGCAAATCTGAGAGAGGGTAAAATTGTTCAATTGATTAAGATCTATTAGCCCTGAAATTTTCAAACGAATCTAACAACCTATTGTTGGGTTGCTGCCACTAAATTGGTAGTTTTAAGGAAATTTTGCAGTTTTTTGTAATTATCTTGAATATTATAGATAGATATAAACTGTAAACAGCAATAATGTTCAGAAAAGTAAGATCTACAAAAAAGTTGATATGACCAAAATTGTCAATTGACCCCTTAAGGAATAATTGCCCTTTAAGGACAATTTTACACTATTTGTTTATGTTTTGTTACTTTAAAAATCTGTTTAAATGAATCTAGTATAACTCTTATATTTTATTTCCTTTTACGTCAAGAAACATAGACACTATGGCTAAAATGGAACATATGGGTAAAATGCATTGTTTTGCTTTCGAAGAAAATATGACAGATACAATGAACATTTAAATGGCATTTTTAAGCCACTCATTAATATATATTGAAAACCAAATATAATCATTGATGAAAGATTTAAGCAAAAAAATAACAGGTGAGCGATTCAGGCTCTTGAGAGCCTCTTGTTTTATGATTCATTGGTCCTTTTTTTTCATGGTAAGATCTTTTTCTCATGTACTTCTAGTATATGCATTGTGTCAATTAAATGTGGTGTTTGGAATGATTTGTTGTGTAGATAAAAGTGTGGAGATGTGGTATGTTTGCCAAATGAGACAAATATCCACCGAAATGTAATTGAAATTGATGTACAAAATTATGGGCTACCATACGGACTTATACAATTAGAAAAAAACCCTTACCATATGGTCTGCTATAAAAGGCCCTGGCATGAAAAATATGAAAGAATTCAATTAAGAAAACCAACAGCCCAAATTTAAAACCAAACAATTTACGAAAAACAAATACAACAGACATGAGCCAACACCATTATTGAACTGCAGGCTCCTGATGTAGGACAGGCACATAAAGAATGTGGCGTGGTTAAACATGTTTGTGAGTGTCCCCTTAATCAGGGACTGGTTTAACAGCACAACATTTGAAGAAACTAAAAAAAATCATTAAAAAAAAATTTGGCTTACATGTAAAAGAGGGACGAAAGATACCAGAGGGACAGTCAAACTCATAGAACGAAAACAAACTGACAACGCCATGGCCAAAAATAAAAAGACAAACAGACAAATAATAGTACAGATGACACAACATAGAAAACTTAAGACTAAGCAACACGAACCCCACCAAAAACTGGGGGTGATCTCAGGTCGTGTTGCTTATGTTATTACAAATCCGGTAAATAGTCTTAATTCGGTAAGTCACATTCGTGAAAAGGGAAGGGTATTGTAGTTACGACATAAGGAACATATCCGATATCATCTGTGAAATGGTTATTCCATAACGGTCAACCAACTCGTGATGGCGTCCGTAAAATTTACGAAGGGATGATTTCAACTTCACCATTTGGAACTCTTGGTTTAAAAGCTTCCT